CCCCCCCCCCTCACCCAGGAGCACGGAGTCCTCCAGTCGCTCCGACAGGTCATGACACTGCTGCTGATATTCTGGATCAGTGAACTGGTGTTTGGGTTCAGACAATTTCCTCTGTAGACGGTCCAGCCGACGCTGCTCCTTCTCCGCCTCACGCTCCGCCTGCTTCTTCAGCCACTCCGCCATCCTGCAGCCACCACAGAAGAAGAACAGCGTCAACATCCATCACAGAACAAGAGTCATTCCAACACACGACGTATCGCCGTGACTCACTCTTTCTCGTGGTTCACGTCCCGGAGACGTCGTCCGCTCAGATCTCTGCAGGCTTCACGGTTGGTCGTCTTTTCGATCTGAGCGCCGAGAGCTCTGAGCATCGAGCCGAAACCTGAAACACAGAGTTGACGTGTTAGTATTTTTGTAGACGGCTGATCAACAGCTGGATGTGTGTATTTCCCAGACAGACCTCCCTTCCCCCCACACAGGCGGGGCTGCAGGTGATAGACGGCTCCATGTTGCAATGGATCCTCCACATCTGACACTCGACCATTTCTGATGACGTAGAAATCCTCAGGGGATCCAAACTACACACACACACACACACGAAGATCACAGGAGTCACAGTATTAGAGTCATTGTGTGAGTCTCGGTTCTCTGGACCAGAGGATCCGGAAACTTTCACCACTTTAACTAAAACAAAGGAAAATGTGATGATGATGTTCGAGTCCCGCAGGAAGAATCACATGACCACGGCATCACCGTCACACTCATTCGACGTCACGATGTTTGAGCCTAAAACGTTATGAAACCTTTAAACAGCCGTTTCCGGTCAGTGTTTGTTAGCTAACGTTAGCATGTGGGCTAACAGTGACTCTCGTCGCTTCCGGCCTGTGCGTGTGTTCGCAGCTCGCTGTGACGTCACTCACCTGCTGCCGGACGAACCGGGTCAGAACATCTTTCACCACAGAACCGACCGGAAACTGTGCGTTAGAGCGGAGCCGCGGCGCGTGCACACACACTTCCATCTTCTCCCTGCAGGTAACAACACAACACTTCCTGTTTGTCGCTTCCGCCGTGAGCTTGACGTCATCATGCAGCGTGCCCACGGGGCCCCCTGCTGGTCTGTAGGCGTCATCGACTGTGACGCTTCAGTTTAAAAACTGTTTTTATTCGTTCGATCTGAAAACACGTCATTTACTGAACAAAGCTTAACATCGGGTTTGTTCTTATTTTGATGTTTTTATTTTAAAAATCTTAGTGACGTATTCATTATGTTTTTATTGTTCCTCGTTTCTTTGTCTGTAAATAAAACATCTATTTAGCCGCCAGGGGGCGCGCTGATAATTTCCTCTACCGGAAGTTGAAGAGTGTTCCGGCTCGCGCAGCTGAGGGACAACATGGCCGCAGTGGTGATGTCCTGGTGTCGGTCCGGACTCCGGGTCTCCTCCCGCCGGTTCTTCAGAAGCTCCTTCAGCTCGGACTCCAGCGGGACTTCCGGCAGCGACCCGCCCGCCGCGGACACGCCCAGGTCCGGCTTCGCTGCCGCCTTCGACGTCCAGACGGAGATCCGCCGGGAGGCTGCGAACTCAGCGGCCGGAAACAGAGGCTCCTCCTCCGGTCAGGACGAGAGCTTTGCCTCGCTGCTCCGCCGGTCCCCGCTGGTGCAGATGGGACCGGCCAAGGACAAAGTGGTGGTCGGGAGGATCTTCCACGTGATCCAGGACGACTTGTACATCGACTTCGGCGGGAAGTTCCACTGTGTGTGTCGGCGGCCGGCGGACGGAGGAGACAAGCTGCAGCGGGGCAGCAGGGTCCGTCTGCGGCTGCAGGACCTGGAGCTCACGGCCCGTTTCCTCGGAGCTAAGACCGACACGACGCTGCTGGAGGCCCAGGCGGTTCTACTGGGCCCGCTGGAGGGACGAGAGAACCGGGACTGAGGGAGTCCGGGTCCCTGAAGAGACTGAACCCGACCTGTGTCTGATCACCTGTTCAGTCACGTGTTCGATGACAGAGGGATTGTTTGTATTGATCAGTGACGGATGATTATTGATCAGTGGGAACTTTGTGTCCATATTAAAGTGATAATGTTCTGATCAGCTGTTTCTCTACTTTAATCACGTGACGCCTCAAATAACAGTGTTCAGTTCTTCACTTCAGGAAACGTGATGTTTTAGTTTGTTATAGATAAACTCAGTGTGAACAGGTGTGTCACATGATGTGTGTGTGTGTCACATGATGTGTGTGTGTCACATGATGTGTGTGTGTGTGTCACATGTACAGTCCAGTCAAACACAGACAACTCGTCTTTTCCTTCTTTTCCTTTAATAACTGAAAACATGAAGCTGGAGTTTCATCAGGTGAAATCATTTCAGTCATGTTTCTAACTTTACCTTTCAAACAACAACTTGTCTCTTTGTGTTTAGTCTTTTGTTCTTTGCTCTATGTACTCTATATCTATCTATCTATCTATGATCTATCTATCATCCATCTGACCTGAACGCCTCCACATCATGAGGCCTTCACTGACCTGTAAAGAAAACTAAACCCTGAGCTCTGACTTACATGCTGACCTTCCCGCTCAGTCCTCCTCACCTGCAGGGGGAGCAGTGAAAGATGGCAGCTCTGTCTTACCAATCAGTCAATACATGAATCAATAAATAAATGCAGAGGCCATATTGTCTGGGCTGTAGCGCCCTCTATCTGAGAGTAAATGCAGCAGCTGGGAGTTAACAGTGATTATGCTTCAGTACTGTGAATATGTAGTACTACAGTGGTACTACAGAAGTACTGCCGCTGTTTGTCGTTGCTTTTGTGTTGTTCTTCCTGTCGGAGGCACCTCGAAGTTCGGAAGCAGGAAGTAGTTTCATCCACACATGGTTAAAATCAGCCACTGAGGAGACAGAAGCGTTTACACGTCACACAGTCTGAACCTGGTTCTGGATGTGGTTTTCATTCTGCTCTGATCTGGTTTCTGAATCTGTTTTCTTTCACCTCAGTGACGTTGAGTTCCACTTGTCCTGTTCCGTCTTTGTTCAGCTCCTGGAAAGTTTCTGAAAACAAACAAAGTTTTTCTCAGTTCAGTGTCAACAAAACTCGATTTTGAATCTAAAGTCAAACTGGGTTGAATGTGGGAAATGAATCGATGAAATCAGTGAGCTCGGTCGTGTACGTACTGAACATGGCCTCCAGCTTGACCACGCAGCAGGTGAAGTTGTCGAAGTCGATGACCTCGTTGTCGGCGTATCGAGCGATGAGCATCTGGTACAGCTTGTTGTTGAGTTTGAATCCTGAGGGGACGACACAGGTGAGTGGACTCAAACACAACACGCTGAGTCATCATGTTCAGGAACAGCACGATCTACCTCCGTTTTCCAGAGCCAGACGCATCTCGTAGGAACTCATGCATCCAGACTTATCCAGATCAAACTCTCGGAAGATTCCCTGCAGAGGTCAGAGGTCACACGTCCTGTTCAAATATCACTGTTACAACTTGATTAAATCAGGAAGATGAAACTTCCATTGGTTGAAGCTGAAGGTTCCATTTGTATCATCAGAGTAAAATCTCCTCTTTTATTAATGTGGACGAGTAGATGACGAAAGTAAAAATACTTCAGTAGAGTAAAAGTACCTCAACAGATGTGAGCTTTGTTACTTCCTGTACACGTGTTCATATGTGCTCCATGTAACCACACGTGATGTCATTATATGTTTCTCATGATAATCACATGTGATGATGAAATGTTACTAAGTACTTCTACTTGTGATACTTTAAGTATCTTTGTACAGTGTGGTATTTTTCACCCTGAAGGCTGAAAGTAAAGATTTTTATTTTGAAAAGCAAATTGCTCACCAGCCACTTCCTGATCTTGTTCCAGAGAATCTGAAACTCTATCAGACCGAGGCGAGCGCTGCCGTCTTTCTGCCGTCAGGTCAAGGTCAAAACTTTATTTCAACACCAGAAGGCGACAGAACGATCAAGGTTCAAAGGTTCTACTGAGAATGTTCCGAGGAACCAGAGGAAAGAACCCACAGGTTCTTCACAGTGAGGATACGTCCATGAGGCCGGCCATGGCTCTGCAGGACTCCATACTGAAACCATCCGTCTGCAGGTCTCTGTCTGCAGATACAACAACCACAGAAGAAGAAGAACTCACTCTCTGTTTTCACACACAAGAACAAGAACAATCAGAACTCACGTTTGGAGACGACTCGGTTCAGGATGGTTCTGAGTTCTCGGACTGAGATCTCCATGTCCTGAGGAGAGAAGAGACTTTTCACGTCTGATGACTCAGCTCAAACAAACTTTGAGGAAACATGACTCAGCAGAACCAGGTTCTTTATTTGAACGTTGAGATTGAGTGAAGCTTCGGCTGAACTCACGTCTCCTGACAGCTGAGTGAACATCGACCTGAACGAATCGTCGATGTCGCTTTCTGATATTTCCTCCTGCAGAGACCACAGGGTCAAAGGTCGTCAGGACACAAAGAAGGAGACATTCCCACAGATGAAGCAGATGTTCTAACATCATCATGTGAAGATGTTAGAAGACGTGTTTGTATTTTTAAAGTTATTCAATAAGATCAGAGTTATTTCATCCCAGGCCCCTGAGGCACGGGGCCCCTGGACAACTGTCCACTTTGCCTGCTGGTCCTCCACAGATTCAGTGTGATAATGAATACACACTGACGACAGTGGAACCACTGTGTCCATATACTTTTGTCATTGTCTCCGTGACCCTGGGTCTGTATGAACACAGATTTATTTGATCATCATGTTTCTTTCGTGTAAAGGACCAAAGTTAATGTTTAAAAATGTGAGTTAAATGAAGTCGTACCTCCGGGTCGAAGGTTCCCTCCACGTCGTCGTCCATCTCCCTGCACAGATTCACACACGCTCACTGGTTCACTGTTCGATCACTGGATCAATAACCTGATTATTGGTTTCTCACTCACTCACCTGGTCTCACACTGTTTCTCAGTGAACACCCTCAGGACAAAGTCCGCTTCCTTTGATGGTTCAAAGGTCGACGGGACAATCAGGTACTCGCCTGGCGGGAGGCGGAGCCTGTTGCTCACCTCTCGCAGGTTGATGAAGGACTCGGAGCGAGCGCAGGACGAGTGACGCAGGAAGAACTCCTTCTTCATGTGGACACTGGGACGACCTTGGAGCTGACGGACAGACGGACGTTAGCATCACTGAGCTCAGAGTAAACAAAGGTGATGTTAGATTGTGATCGCAGGTCGTCGGACTCACCTCGTCAGGAATCTGTGAACGTGGGAGACACAGAGAAGGAGAGTCACAACATAATCACACACATGACCCTTCATCCAACATCCTAACACTCTACACCCTGTATCCTAACACCCTATATCCTAACACCCTATATCCTAACACTCTATATCCTAACACCCTATATCCTAACACCCTATATCCTA